TGGTCATATTTGTCCAACTTCAAATTAAACACACTTAATTTAATGATCTCAATCCAAAATCACTTGATAAAATACCCATAATCATTCTCCATCACAATATTATTTTTCACTATAATATGAAAATCCACCTTGAATTTTTCGGGCTATTACAACAAGCTCCTTACGTGGGGAAGCTACTTGTACCTACAATGCGATTAGGCAATTTGAATTTGTATTCATCTTCCATTTATTGCAAGAAATTATGGAACTCACAGATATCCATTTGTCGAGAACTGCAACATAAGTCTCAAGACATCATGAATGCTATGAACTTAGTCGGTACAACAAAAAGTGTTCTTCATAAGTTGAGATTAACTGGCTGGAAAACTTTTATTGGGAAAGTAGATTTATTTTGCAAGAAACATGATATTGATATGCCTCATATGAATGCTCAATATAAAGTCGGAACAAGATGTTCTTGTCAACAAAATGACAATATTACAGTTGAGCATCACTACCACTTTGACATATTCAATGATGCAATAGATTTTCCATTATGAGTTGAATAGTAGATTCAATGAAGGGGCAATGGAACTTCTTATTCTTAGTTCAGCTTTGGACCCTAGTGATTCTTTTAAATCATTTAACATTGATAAAATTTGCATCCTTGCAGAGAGATTTTATCCTCAAGATTTCACTCCGCAAGAGTTACATATTTTGAGATACAAGTTGAAACTTTATGAAACATATGTACCTCATCATCCTGTACTTCAAAATGTGCCTACTCTCTCTGAATTATGTCTGAGATTAGTTGAAACGAAAAGGTCACAAAGATATCATTTGATTGATAGGTTGATGTGTCTACTCTCTCTGAATTATGTCAAGGATTAGTTGAAACGAAAAGGTCACAAAGGTATCATTTGATTGATAGGTTGATCCGTCTTGTGCTAACTCTCCATGTTTCTACAGCAACTAGTGAACGAGCTTTTTTCAGTTATGAAACTTGTTAAAACAACTCTTCGCAACAAGATGGAGAATGAGTTTCTAGCATATTCTATTATTGTCTACATTGAAAAAGAATTTGCTGACAATATCGATTCAGATGCAATAATAAAATATTTCAGCTCTCTCAAGGATCGCAGGGCACAACTTCAATAAGTACATTTTAATTATTGTTGAACATATGATTTAATGTATTCTTTTAGTGTGGTTTATATGATTTAATATATACTTTATTTTAGCTAAAAATTAACTAGCCCCACTCATCGAAAAATTCTTCGTTTTTTTTTTTTTTTTTTTTTTTTTTTTTTTTTTTTTTTTTTTAAAAGGAAAAAAACTTGATTCCTGATTCCGCCTTGCTTTTGAACTTTTGTGTTGTGTTTTTTTTTTTTTTTTTTTTTTTTTTTTTTAATTTTAAATAGTTGGGGCTGCATCGTGTTGTGTCAGATGAGATGAGTGGAGGAGGAGACTGGAGGGTATGGCCCGTGGTCCTCAGCTGAATGGTGGTAAATGCCACGTGATAAAACACCATTGTCATTTTACTCTCTCTCATCACGAGCTTTGGAGTGGATGGGCATGAGCACATTCTGTACGTATTCTCATATTATTGGCTCAAATCTGAACTCCCACGTGCCCCCTCGTTTAGATCACGTGGTCAGTGATCAGTGGTCTCTCTCTCTCTCTCTCAAACAACTTACAAGTGATATGCTTTTGCCAACCCTAAAGCCTTATGCTTACCCAGAACAACCATCAATCAAATTACTATATCTACAGTACGATTTTAAATTTACTGTCTCAATATTCTCTTCAACTTGCAATTTCTTCCACTTGATATATATATATATATATATATATATATATATGTCAATATCACACACCTCATTAAATGGGGCAAGGCTTGTGTTGTTTTGATTAGTGGTGGGATTATTTTATTTGATAGCCAAGATGGTTTCATTTATCTGCATTTGCACCTGCACCTCGTTTGGTCTTTACTGGTTTTCTCATGCACTGATGAACTCAGAGATCCATGTATAGGTGCAAGTGTAAGTGCAGACAAATGCCTTCTTGGTTTTTTCTCAGCTCTAAAGGTGTTTGAAGGATAAAACATTCCACTTTTGGGCTATCATCTGTGCTCCATATCCATCTAAGGTAAGAAATTGATACTTAATAGCTCTGTCCTCAATCTCGATTCCGTTCTTGCTGTTTTTGGGTGCTTCTAATATCCATTTGTTGTCATTAAGAAAGAGTAAAGATAATCTTTTCATTGAGATTGTTTGTGTATCTGATAAAATGTTTTTTTCTCTTTTTTCTTTTCCTTTTCTGAATGTTCTCAATCTGCTGTTTCTAGTTTGCTGCATGCCTAGAAATTAATATGTCATGCTGTCTGTTGGTCTTTTTAAAACTTGTCCTTATAACAGATGTTTATACAAAATGATGAAAGTTTGAAGTTGTTGCTGTTTCTTTGATCGATCGTGTATAGTATAGTGTGAGTTGTGTTCTTCTATATCCGTACTAGTTTGGTAGGTTAAGCTTTAAACCTACAATCTTTATTATGCAGTTTCAATTTTAGAAGCAAAAACATTTATGAATGTATTTTCAAGATGCTTGTGCTTCCTTTTCTGCAGTCATTAGGTTGAGGATCGCTGAACTACATGAAGCCACAAACACTTAAAATCTGACATTTGATGCCCCGAAAAAGAAAGAAAAAAAGTCTATGACATCTGAACTAAAATTGGTAAAATATCTCACATATAGACAAATATCAAGATCTTGTCAAAATATCTTTATTGGCGGTTTGCAACACATATATATATATATATATATTTATTTATTTATTTATAATTGCTACAAATACAATAACAAAAACCACAAACAAGCTTCTCCAACAAGAAGAAAAGGAGAAAGAAGAGTTGCATATAAAGATGGATTGGTTTCAATTGCCTCAGGGTATACATGACTTGTGCTTCTCTTTTTTTTATTTCTTTCCTGCTAAAAGTACATGATGACTTGTGCTTCATGGTGAAAGTTAATTCGTTAGGTTTCTGTCTTCGGACTTTTTACTTGTTTTAGCAGACTTGTTCGATTAATACTGTGCTTTGAGTGTTAGTTTCTAATAACTCTCTTTTGGTGGTAACAAAATGATCTTACACACCAAAAAAGAAGCAATTAATAAAAACACACAACAGGAAAAAGACAATGACAGGAATTAAAGACACAGAGCTGACAGATGTTGGTTATGTTATGCCCCATGGGGGAGGGTCCTGGTGATGGTGTCCTTTGTTCCCCATGATTTCATATTCATATAACTTTTTAATTAATAAAACAAGGGATTTGGCAAAATTAGCTCTTCAGTATCGGTCATCGGATATATTCATAAATAACTAGTAATACAGTGAACTATTGGTCAATCAATTTATTATTTGATTTGTAAAATGGGATACTTCAAATTATATACAACGCCCTGCTGTCCATTTATTTTGTACGACATAATATAAGATCTTAATTTGATCCCATTTGCGTGATAATTAATGAATGTATTCTCAAGAGCTACTTACTAGAACTCTCGAAGTCATTGTTTATGATTGAGTCCCCAAAAACAAAAACAAAAAAAATCACTCAGAATTATGTACTTGATCTGTGATCTTAGTCAACTACACAACGCATTAGAATGTTTGGTAGAAAAAGAAGATACATTTCTTGATAGTGTAATATATATATATATATTCAAAAGTTACAGTAGGATGGATCCATTCATACCTCGTGTAAATCACAATTTGACACATATATATTTATAAATAACTCATTAAAAATATTAATTAAAATAATTTTTACACACGTGATGGGCAGATAATTATAGTAGACAATGGTACCATTTCGCAAAAAAGGTATTCTTCAAGGAGTGTATATATATATACATTATGGTTCCATCCAACAAGAATTCACGCATTCAATATGATTGAATGACTTGATATTGATCTATACTATAGTAGAGAATGGTGTACTTTTTACATGTAACGACATATCAATGACTTGATATTGATCTATACTATAGCAGAGAATGGTGTGCTTTTCACATGTAACGACATATCAATCTATACTCTAGTAGAGAATGGTGAACTATTTGATCACATGTAGGGCATGTTTACATATCAGTAATGGGTATGGAAGGAAATTGAATGATTTCTATTCCTGACTTCTCCTGCTTTTACTTGCAATTAGGAATGAAAAAATAAGTGGACCCCACCTCAAAATCCGTAATCACATTCCCTCAAAATTAGGAATCATATCAACTAGGGGGGGTAGTCGATATGATTCTCATTCCTGTTTTATCTTAATAACTTCCAAAAATACCCTTATCACTTTATCATAATTCTAAAATTAATTTGGATTCTGATTCATGAAAATTAGTAAACAATAACAATGGGAATCAATCTCATTCCATTGCTAATTTCATATGTTTAGTAAACAGTTTAATGGGAATGATTCTTCCCATACCGATCCAGTAGTTCTCCGATTCCTAAATTCTTTGATTCCTTAGTTTCTCCATTACTGATACGTAAACATGCCCGTAATGTGATGTGAATTTGCATTGTAGAGATAGAAACACTGCTTAGCTTCTCTTTATATACCAATCACAATTTGACACATGCAAAAGTAACTCTTTAAAATTACAACAACAACAAAATTATGCATACATGGCAGACTGTGATTGATTTGTAAGGAAGAATAACTCTTTAGTCTTTACACTCAAGGATTCAAGTATTTTCCGTAAAGAAATCTCATATCTATTATTGGGCCTGAAAACTGGGCTTTCATCCCTCTTAAACACAAGCAAATCTCTTATATCATCTGGGCCTGCAAATTGGGCTCTTATAGGTCATGATGCGACCGACAAGTCGTCCAGATAAACTTCGAAACGGCACCGCGTATTACATCCCCTCTTTTACTTTCTAGGGTTTCCAGTGAAGCCAAACGAAATCCCAACTCGCAGTCACAGAAGCCAGACTTCGGAGCCAAGAAAAATGGGAGGCAAGTGCCCACACAGAAGCGTCAAGAAAAGGAGATACTCTCACAAGACTCACCGACGCGCCAAATTCCTCGTCAATGATATCCTTTTGTTTTATTCCTCAATTATTATTTTTCCTTTTATTTGCATTTTCAATTTGTGAATTGTGAATTGGTTCCTTGACTGAGCATTTGATCACGTGATGATATGGTGTATGATAGTCTGAATAAGGCAGATGAGCAGACGAAGCCATTGCCTCCTGATCAAGATCTCCCTGGGATGGGTCAATTCTACTGTCTTCACTGCGAGTAAGCTTTTCTATTCTTTTTATTTTTTTTTAATTAATGAAATGTCCCCAAGAACAGCTTTTCTATTCTTTTGCTTTTTTATTTTCAATGTAAAAAATGTTTATCTGTGTCTGTTTGGTTGCTGAGAACAGAATAGAAAAAAAGACCCAGCTTTGAAATTCATATCCAATACTAGTTTTTATTAGCTGGGTTTTGTCCCTTTTTGGTAAAGTAAGTAACTTGATGTTGAAATTGCAGCCGATACTTCAATAATGCAGCGGTGAGGGATGACCATTTCAAGACAAAGCGTCACAGGAGGCGTGTAAAGCTGCTGATGGAAGCACCACACACCCAGCTGGATGCTGATTTAGCTGCTGGGATGGGTATGCCCGATAATGGTCCCAAGCTTATGTCTTTCTGAGCTTTCTTATTTTTGCTTTTATATTCCTTGTAGTTGAAGATACATGATACATGCTGATGTTGTAAGAATGGTCTCTCTCTATAAGAAGATATAGTTGTTACTTGTTTGTGAAGTACAAGTGCACGATTTTTCACCAGTTTTCATCTTGGTTTTATTTATGGTCTCTCTAGTTGTTTTTGGTTACCAACTAGAGGGCCTCTTAGTCTAGTGATACTTGCGAGATCCTAAGTTCGAATTCCCCTCTCCTTATATAAAAAGTTTGTTCTCAGTTATCTTCTTTTCGCGGATGTGCATCATTAGTCTAATGCCTGACATAGGACAGTTATGTTTAACTGCAAGTAACTGCACATGTCTACTTGTAATTTTGGGTCTGCATTGGCACAAAGTTCCGCTAGCAGTTGCTCTTCTGCTTTTCTGGAATCTTTCTTCCGGAAACCATCCCAGTCGATAGTAGGTTCTGAGGTCGATAGGCATCACTTTCTCAATTTCAGTGAACCTGTGCGGGGGTAGGGGTGGATGTAGCCAAGTGGATCAAGGCAGTGAACTCATTTGGTTGCAAATGGGATCAACAGTCTCATATAGTCATTTTCTTGAGGATTACAGTGCAAGGTATTTACATTTGGGGGATGATTTTGGCATTCCAAATGTCAACTCCCTCACTCCTCTACCACTCACAAATGAAGAGTGCATGACGTAATTTAAGGGTGATTTTGGCACTCCAAAATCATCCCCTTTTACATTTTCCAGCAAATAGGGAAGTAGCCTTAGGCTCATAACCCCACCCTCAGTGCAGACCAAATCCATGAACTCCTTATTTGCTAGAAGCTTTAAAGGGAGATTGAAAGTCTTTGGTTTTTAGGATCTCTGGTTGTAGTTGCTGTAATTTCGAGCGTATTGTCAATTCCCATGTCCATGAATGCCCCATTCAGATATGGAGTAATAAAACTCTTATCTCATTAAGCTGGAAACAAATGCATCCAATTATATACTTCACAGGCCTCCTCATATCTTGTCTTGTCTTGCACCAGTATTGTGCTGCGGACTCTCAAGTTTCTATTGCCTCTGTCTGCAATTAGGCAATATAATGGCTAAAGCTATATCTTCAATCAAGATTCCCAACTTCCCTATGCTTATATGCAAACTATTTGTCCATTGTTGGCCGTTATGAAATGATCCAAAAGTGCATTACAAATTGGAATTTTAGTTTCCATCCGAATCATCAGTTTTCTGAGATCTGAGATGCAATTTCTCACTAAATGCGTTCCATCTCTCTGGCCGCCTCTTGCCCTCAAAGTCAAAGCTAAAGCTTTGACCAATTTTAATTGATTGGGTGTCAAGTGATTCGGTTGGGTCAGGTTGGCCCAATGGGTCGGGTTAGCCCAAAGGTGTATAAATAATAATATCTCAAAGAATGAAAAACATCTTCTCTATGCAGAAAATCTGCAAGCCAACAACATAGGCCACTTGAATGCACTGCTTTGGAATTGTTTAATTCATCAATGCACTAGTGAAGCTAAACTCTTTGTTTTATTCATCATGCACAATGGAGTTGGAGATGGGCTGCCTCAGTTTTCATTCCTGCTACGCCACCAGGTTGCTAATATGCCTATATACATGGTCATAGTTCTAAATGAATAGAAGATGGCCGCTTGGCGCAGAAGCTGAAGAATTGCAAGCTTTAATCACCTACAACCAAATGGACAAGTCCACCATGTGGCAAAACCCATAAATTTTGTATGAAGAGGGTAAAATATGAAGAACTTTTAATCCAATATGGTCGCTATCAAGGTCTAAAATATCAATGGTTTAACCATAAGGTGTGGTGCAGTTGGCAAACTGTCACCTCTAACTGGCGAGCTATCTAGTGCCTCAATGAAATCCATTAGAAGTACTTTGTGGCTAAAGACAAGCCGAACTCAAAAGTGTATAAATAATAATATCTCAAAGAAAAATGAAAAAACATCTACTTCTCTATGCAGAAAATCTGCAAGCCAACAACATAGGCCACTTGAATACACTGCTTCGGAATTGTTTTATATTCACCATATATGAATATTTCAACAGTAAAAAAGTGATCTGTCAATACATAAAGTGTTAGATAAGTGGCTTTAATCTGTCCCCAACCACTACTGGTACCATAAGACCTGCGAGGTTGATTATATCAACTGCACCCAATGTCTTTGTCCGACCAGCTCCAACGGCAAATGAGACTTATTTTTTTCTAAACTTTCACACATACTATATGAATGCTAGAACTTGAATCCAAACAACAAGCATTAGTGGGTCCTTTGCGAATGATGACTTTAAGAATTCTAAAACACAACATATTTAAAAGTAGCTTGACATTATTATTGCTAAGTTGTTTTTGTGAATCCCAGACAACAACCATGGGCTCATTATTCTACTAGCTCCTCTAGTCAACTAGAATTTTTATTTTTATTTTTAATTTTCAGAGCAAGATAGAGTAAATGAATTTGACCGTAAGCAGCCCAAGCATTGACGGAAAAACTTTTTTTTTTTTAATAAAAAATGAAATCAGTACACTCGGGTTCAATTCAAATGCTCTGTCCAGTGTCCATAGTCGCACTTGAACCCTTTTCAGAAATGGAGAACAGCCTATTGTTGTGTTCCAGCTTGAAGAGGATAATCATAAGCTTCAGGCATTTCTGTCTCTTCCATTTGTTTCTCACCTTTTCCATTTCTGTTGCAGACAAGGAATATGAACTTTGCTATGAGTAATAGCAGTCTGTTATCGTTCCCACCATCCCAAAAAGAGAGGATGCAAACAAAATGATTCAGGTCAATAAATAAAGCAAGGAAGACTTTAGACTCCAAAACAAATAGAAGGGGTCACAATATGGGCCACCGCCATCAATCTCTTCTGTGGAGTAATTTATCCGCATCATTGTATTGGTGTTATCAGTCCATCCATGTTATCCTAAAATATAAACCCGTCGTGTATTCATATCCTTATTTTCTTTGGGACAAAGAGATTAGGTGTGTCCACTCCCACACATATCACCCATAAATCAAAACACCAAAATCTTTCTATGATCCTGTCATTTTCCAATGCCATATCCTCTTTCTCTCAAAGGCTTGTCCACTACCAGCCACTGTTTTGAAGTATTAATTTTCCCTCCACCTCTTGGGTCTTTGTCTATTTCCCCATCTTTATTCAGTTTTCCCTCCATTGATGTTGTCTTTAACTCATGCACATGATGGGCAACCACCATGCGAATGAGCTCTCATAATTCTGTCCCCCACAAGCTCTATCAAATATGCATGCATGCCCTGTTGAGATCATGACTAGACTATTTCACAAACCCGTTGGACCAATCATGTTCAGAGTTTGGATAGTGACTGTAATATATAATCAAAAGCCTAACATGCCATTCATCCTAAGGTCTACATCCTGAGGCCATCATACCCATTTTCTGTGCGATCAGTGTCTGAGAGTGATGGAATTCTAACATATCCTTCAGACATGCTCAAATTGCAAGGCTGCTGATCATTGTTGTGACTTGTGTGAATAACAATTGGCTTCCGGGCAATATTGAATTTGGCAATTAAAGTTTGCACGCATGTGGGTTTCTAGGCCAAGTTTTCATCATGTTCCCAGAGGTATAAGATTGGCATCAATGTTGCCAGGGCCCAACATCTTTCACTAGTCTAACATTGATTGGACCGTAATGGGCTTGTAACTCAAGTAGTTAAAAGCACTTATCTCTATATCTGAGATTCAAAGTTCAATTTTCCCCTCCCCAAATATCCCTTGGATAAAAAATTAAATATTAAAAAATATAAAAAAACATTGATCGGACCAGGTACTTTATGCCTACATATGTACTCTTTTCACCTAAAAGCTTAAACCTTGAGAATAATGGTAAATCAATTATCACAGAGGAATTTCACTTTTTAAATCGTTTGGACCACAACAGTTGCCTAACACCATCACTTGTTTGAAACATTGGGTACCATGTTATGATTATTTCTTAAGAGCATAAGTGAAAATGCACAAGGATGTAAGTTACCTATTTCAATCTAGCGGGAAGTATTTGTCATTATCATTTTCTTCAAAGATTCATAGGGTAGAACATATATGGTAAAAATAGGGGAAGTAAAAGAAAGAAAGATAATACATATACTATACCAAAACAGAAAAACAAAAACAAAAACCCAAAAAATCAGATGGGGTATATGGGATATACTCCTCTTTACTGGCGTGTGGCTTCACCTTACTTGCCTTCTCTATCTTCATCTTCTCTGGGTTTTACTGAAGAACTTGAACCTGATGCCATTCCAATGGCCTGGGTGTGTGTGAACCGTTGTAGCTGTATCATGCGCGCGTAACACCCATCTGGGTAATTTTTCAATAGATGGGAGTGAGATCCTTGCTCTGCCACTTTCCCATCATCAATCACTGCAATGACATGGGCATTCCTGATAGTTGATAGTCTGTGTGCAACCACAATTGTGGTTTTCCCCTGAGCAAGCACGATCCAGAGCCTCTTGAATAGATCTCTCAGACTCAGCATCAAGTGCACTTGTTGCCTCATCAAGAAGCATAAGCTCAGCCTTCCTCAATAAGGCCCTGGCAATAGCAACTCTTTGTTTCTGTCCTCCAGATAGTTGAACTCCTCTCTCCCCAACAAATGTTTTGTACCCTTCCGGCAATGCAGATATGAACTTGTGAGCATTGGCCATATTTGCAGCTTCAATGATCTCAGCCTCAGTTGCTGACTCGTGCCCATAAGCAATGTTTTCATATATGGTTGTAGCAAAGAGGCATGGCTCCTGAGGAACCATGGCTATGTGCCTCCTTAGGGACTTGAGATTGTATTTTCGAATGTCCTTTCCATCAACCATAACTCGTCCTGATGTCGGGTCGTAGAACCGCTGTATCAGTGCAATGACTGAGCTCTTGCCACACCCACTAGGACCAACAAGGGCAAGAGTTTTGCCTGCTCGGGCACGGAGGGAGAGGTCACGGAAAACAGGGA